CTTTAATTACTTCACAACCGCGGCATCTGGACCACTCTGTAAAGAATTTCAAGCCAGTTTGCAACTATTATAAATCAAACCAATGGATCTGCTGCACGTGAGCAACATAATTTTACTTCCTCTGTCCTGCTCTGCATTTCGCTAATCCGCCTGCGCCTCGGAGAAGGCTTTATATCATCTCAGTACACCTCTGCTAAACACATAAGCCCCGACTAAGCTCTTATACCACGAAGATCAGTTTAGTGTTATAATTGTCTGTGAACTGTCGGGTGTCACCGGCGAATCTCTAAATCATCGCCTACTATAACAGTTATTCATTTAAAAATAGGTACCTAACTAGTGTGCGGGTCAAATAATACTTAGGTATTTATGTTTATAAAGCTAGTCGTTCGACATAGTGGCGCTCGATACGACCGGGCCATGCCCAGCCTTAGTACACTAATAATATAACAAATAAATGTTAAAGTAACACTAATATAACTAATGAAATAAAAGTGTCACAACTCTAGATTTAGGTTGTGCGTTGTGTCAGTCAATTAGTTACGTTACGTTACACTCTAATGAGTAATGAGTACATGGTAGGGCTGCCATCCGTCCGGGTTTCCCCGGATTTGTCCTAGTTTGGAAGAAGGCCGGGGAGCTTCCGGGTGAGGTTTAAATTGTTGTCCGGTTTAATTTTATTAACTGAGTAACTAATATTGGGTTTGTTTATGTTTTATTCAATACCTAAGAAGGTTAAAAAATAAAGCAAAATTACTCATTTGTCGTCACAAGAACGATTAAACACACTAGTTCATGCAACAAAAGAGGCTTAACATTAAAGTTTTCTTCTATCAAGTACGGAGTAAAATATATTTGAATCAAGATGTAAGTGAATGAACAAAGTATTGAAATGTCCGGGGTGAAAGCTCCAACATCCGGGGAACTTACGCTTCAGGTCCTGGGGGGCAGGGTTTACAGATGGCAGCCCTTGTACATGGGGAAGTGTTAGACTTAGCTAAAAGTAATGAATGAAATGGAACATATATTGCTTGACGTACAACATAGAACACACAGTATACTGGAGCCACAAACTTACTTACTAACACTTAATTAGTTACTGAATTCAGTTTGGTATAACTGTTATGTGCCATTATCTAATAAAAAACTTATTAAGTTAGTAGCAAAAAATAATTTTAGCGCTTTTAGTCCAATATGTGCTATTTCTAACATTAATGTCAAATACCACGTAAGAACGTTGTAAAAGATACAATGTAAAAATTTATTTTGTTAATAACTATTAAACACCTAAAGGCGGAGGAGGAGGGGGGGGGGGGGGGTTCACGTCTACAACTCACTTGAGTTTACCCTAAACATACATACGCGTGCGTTTATACACCTATGTCCATAATTAGTGTTAACATTACACACAACATTCTTAAGTTATGCCAGGTGAAGAAGTTTCACGAAATATAAGCCTTTACACACGGCGTACAATTAACGCGCCGACCACCCGCGCTTTCAGCGCTGTACATAACAAGAAGCAGATTGACGTAGGTATTTGTATCGATTCAAACGCTCGTACAAAGCTATGCAAACTGCTATGCAAGTGTGTATCGCGTTTCGCAACTCTGTTTTTAGGATCAAAAGAAGTTTGGAATGACGAATAGGATATACGATAGCAGTTTGAAATGTTATCCATCCTTTGTGTTTGACCAATGTTTTAAAAGCTGTATTAAAACGATCACGCAATAGGTATATCCAACAGAGTCGCTTATTTTTACTTTTTCTTCTTTTTTAAATCAGGAATGAAGCCAGCGTACGCAGTGTTGTGTTGACCGATTCCATTTTACTACTGTTGAGGAGTCAGAGAGTTGAAAACTCAGAGATTTCTGTATTACAAGACACACGCGCGACTGCTGCCCGTCTGTATCGTCGTATCAGCGAAACAAATGCGTGTTTACGGCGCCACAAAACTTTTACAAAGGTTTACTGTCTGCGTATGAATTTCGTTCGAAACACGTTAGCGGGCGTCGTCGCTGCATTAAAAATACGCAGCGTGCAAAGGCTCTAAGAGATGTTGTGTACCATGACTGCCATGTTTAACTACTATCTCTACAAATAGATACCAACTAACTTTCACCAAGGAATTGGTTAAGAAAATTAAAATTATCGAAATATGCTCAAAATGACATCGGAGAACCGTTATTACCGTTATTCTCATGGTCACTCATTGTGGGCATCAGCAGGGATCCGGGGAGAAATAAACTCTTCGTAGGTTATTAAATGAATTTTCTCTTAGGCTTTGTATACGTCACCCTGACGTTTTTATCGACCCCATAACCTTGTAACATTAAAATTTAGATATTTTGCTTTTTTTTTAAATATCTTATATAGGACGTATAAGGGGAGTTTATAATAGACAAACTGATATTGTAAATATGAGTACCCACCCTAAGCGATACGTATACTTCGCTCATAAGTAGTCGCATATAATACAGGGGTTAGATCGGCCCGGGAGAGGTTTCGGACTCTCCCGGCCCGCCAGGCCCGGGAACGGGCCAGGTACCGCAGGCGACTTAGGCGCCGGAGGTCGCAGAACGACCTCCGTCCTCCATAAGCGCAGGCCGGAAAAAAAAACAAAAAAAAGGGTTAGATCGGCGCTGAAACAATGACACCACTAGCAGCTGCTACGCGTCCGCACTGGCGGCATGACATTGTAGTTGTAGCCGGATAACATTAAAACTATGCTTGAGACATGCAAAGAAGACATCAAATGTCGTACTTTCGATACCTGTAACATGTTTATGCTAACTTTCTTTTGCTGACATGATAATTCGAACATTTTGTGTTTTTTAAAACTTAGATTCGCACCTGATGTCCTTTTCACTATGCGCATGCGCGTGCGCAACGTAGAGCGCGGTAAGTGGTAAGCAATGAACTGCAGGCGCTGTACAATGCAGCTGTTGCATCGAACTTTTGCAGCAAACACTCACAGGTATGTCCATGATATGGTTTGTTTTATTATAACAATGGCATGTTAAATGCATACACGTAAAGTGCCACTTTGTGTACGTAAAGTGCCACTCTGTGTAAGCCTATATTTATACAAATATATACCTAAATAAATTGTATGAAATATATATTTTTCTATATACGAATAAGTCGCCGTCGGCGTCTTTTCGACTCCTGACGACTGCACCAGACCAAGTCTTTCAACTAACGTACTAGTTAAAGTACCTTACCGAACACAGTAAAGTTTTAAATTTTAGGATTATATAAATACCTTGACTGCCATAATAAAAACGTTTCGTTCGACGAAATACTGTTCTTTTACTTAGTTTTAACATTTCTCCGATGAAATGCTAGCACCTCCTAATGTTACATCATTTTGAAACGCCCGCAGGGTCCCGGCGACCGACGCGTACGGGCGGCGATATCAAACCGACCGAACGCTGTTTGTGAATATGGGTTTCGTCTCGTCTCAGATCTTTAGTGGACATCTTATCTTTTTAAATCAGTTCCGTCCAAAGGAAAAAGTCAAGTCTGACTTAAAACTTTAGCAAACGTTTATATACTCAAAGGAGATACACAAAAATATAAAGTGGTGCTGACCGGTATCCTGGCGGCAGACACCACCTTATGTCCGAGTGTTACAACAATAACGACCAACAACATGTCCATTCTAGGAATAAACATCAATGTACTTTTCGTACTAATATACTTATTTTTAATTATATGAGAAAAATGGAAATCATTACTCCACAATAAGAACAGGCGGCCGAACTTGCGCCTTAAACATTACAATTTGAGCATTTTTGTTAATGTCGGAGACGCCGTGTGACAGCGGACTGATTCCTGCTCAAGTCGGTGACGGGCGAAGTGCGCGCGCCACTGCCACAAAACAATAATAATTTAATTTTTGAAACCCATTTCTCTTACATAATCGCAATCATGTTTACAACATTTAATTAACACAACTCAACGACTACACACTAAGATGAATGTTAATTTAAACATACATTTAAAAACTTTAAACAGATTTAGACGAGTATAAAATATATAATAATAACGTAATATTATATTCAAGTGTTCCACGAGTAGGCGGAACATTTCCAGCCCCGCGCGTCGGGGCTAAGCTCATACGGTACAAGGCGGGCCGACGCCGCACTACTTGGCACACGTGTCAAGCGTAACGGCCCTCGTTCAAAGAGTATCCCACCAAGGGAATCAGTAGTCAGGTACGTCAGGCCGCAGCTGGCCTGTGGCAATCCATCACTCGGGTCTGACGGTCCAGGGCAGAGAGCACCATTGGACGTACATTAGTTAATGCAGTCGCACTGTCGAGTCTTTTGATTACGTCACTTCACAATCAATATGTAAAGTCATGTAACCATTTAACAAATTTAAAGCTGAACGCGTTACTTATGAAGGAACTTGTTAAAGATGTGTAATTACAGAAAAAATATATACATTTAGTTTAGCAGAAATAGATAAATGAATAAGAATAATATTAGATGAATATTATTAGATGATGTAGGTATCTGCCGATAAATGAATAAGAATAATATTAGATGAATATTATTAGATGATGTAGGTATCTGCCGTCTTAAAGCTCTTCTTTAGAAAATGCCTTAAATAGATGACATTCAAATTGTACAATCACAACCATCTTGTAAATAATACATTACTAATAAAATGAATGGCAGGAGTACGGATCGTTTAAGATACATCTTATAAAAAAGGGGTGGCTCGACGTCCTTTTAATATAATTGAATTTAATTGAATTTGTTATATTAAGATATTGTCAAATATTAAAATAATTTTCTTCTAGATTATAAGATATGCCTCCACTGTATACCGATATTTAAAAAAAATACTCGAGGGATATGTAAGTACAGCGCTAATGTCGGTCTCGTAAATAATGTACATGACATAATTTTGTCCAAACTTTGCCGACTACTAAATATAAAACTGATCTAGTGGCAGGTGTACAGTTCTACAAATTACAATATCAACGTTCATTCGGTTACGGTGCCGACGACGACTCGGCGCCTAGAGTCTGCTGCACAATGCGCGTTTACTTGTGCTGCCAATTCCTGTGAAGAGACAAATGAACCGCTACAATGTTTTATTCCAGAACAACCGATGAAAGAACGCTGATACCTGGAGATAATTGTTGCGAACCAACCACTAGTAAAAGACCCAACACTGGTGTTGTTGTATCTGACTAGGATTCCCCTAAAGGCGATAACATCTTAAGTATAAGATGACGCGGGACTTGTATGGTCATTTGTTGCACATATAAGGTCTATTTTGTTACCAGCAACACGACTTTGTCGACGCAGCTGTCTACCACCAGTTTGTCCTCGTCCACGCGACGCCGCAAGGGGAAGGTGCGGCCCGGGCTGGCCGCGAACACCCACATCAGAGCGTCACTCTCCCCCAGATCAATGAAGCATTCCGGAGCTACCACCACAGATAATATCTGAAACGTATAAACGGTTGTCTTGTCTATTGTGACTCATTTGTTTTTATTAACTGTCACGTGAATGTATATAAAATAGAGTCAGGACAGTAGTGTATACAAAGTCCAAAAACTTTTGTTTTAAACTAATATTACAGTTAAGTTACTACAGTTAGGTACAGTTGGCTATTTATTCATAAAAGTCAGCAAGAGTCTTCTTTTCATTTCACTTACCTTGTGGGTGTTGTATATTGTAGCTGACACATTGTCAACTGGTGTATCTCCCTTATCTGGTATATCTCCTCTTTGTCTCGTATCTCCTTTATCTGGTGTATCTCCTCTATCTCGTATATCTCCCTTATCTGGTGTGTCTCCTCTATCTCGTGTATCTCCACTCGATATCAGGTGTTTCTCCGTAGCTCGAGCATCATTGCCCCTTGCGATACTATTGTTGTCATTTACAGCAGAATTTTTGTCTCCAACAAGATTATTATTGCTACTGACAGGAATATCAATGTCACTTTTGGTGAAATTCAAATCAATGCTAGCCTTATCATTGTCGTCGTCGTCATCGTCATAATCCATCAAAACTTCCACAACGTTATCGTGTGGTGCAAGTGTATAGTAACTAGTTTGAAGGCAGGAGATATACGCGTCGCTCAGAACGAGGAACTCTTTTAACATTACCAACGGTATGTGACTTTTGTCTATACGTAGGAACGTTGTGTTGCTGGGGAGTATCGATGCTGCGACGATAAGCGCATCCACCTTATAGATGAAGTCTGTTACAACCATAAAGAAGTATTAAAAGTAGAAAAAAAATAGTGAAATTATTACTATGTACTTCCACGAGTACTATGACATCAATTAAGTATTTAACTGGTATACTGACAAAATGTACAAAAATGGGTTTTAAATGGCGTTCAACAATTCAGCGGTCTCTTTCGGGCGCAGTAAAGCTAGCTTTCGACGCTGCTGTAGCTAGGACAGCAATGTCAAATGTCTATGCTGACAGAAAACTAAGTCTATTATGTCAAGTACTTGCAGTGGATACCTATTTGTTTAAAAAACTTACTGTGCAAAGTCTCTGTGTTCTTTTGTTGACATGCGCCTTTTTTGTCGTCGACGTCAAACACCGGTGACATTTTACATATTGGTGATACATGTTCACGGTTTACAGCTTCGCTGCATTTCGCGTCATCACTAGGTAGGGGAATAGCATGGAGTGGTACGTCACAGACCGGCGGCGCCATTTCTGGTAGCGGTATGTTCATAAGATGGTCCGCATATTCTGTAATCACAGGAGATCATTCCAATCCATCACGAAAATAATGTTAAAAATTCTCAGGTAATAAATGTCGTACACACCGCTTGAACATAGTAATAATGTTTTCTTAGGAAATGGGTTCAACAGTACCAAAAACATCTCGCGCGCCTAGTCCTTGTAATTTGCAATCTCAGGAAAATAGGTCAAAATAACAAATAAAATTAGTATATCACTGCTGGGTTTCAAACTGTTTCTACAATAATAGAATGTATCGGAAGTGAGGTGTACATTATACGCATTTTTGGATAGGTTAAAAGTAAAACTGTGAAACCAACTACTTAGTTTCCTTCATTTTTCTTTACCAAGCAACAAATTGGTTATGTTATTGGTCAAGTAGTGTTAGTACGAAATTGGAATAAAATATATTCATAACTTACCTTTTGTAGGTTCCACTTGCACACTTTCATTTGACGTTTGCATGTCAGCACTTTTAACGTTATCCATGAAATTTTCAATTGCGGTCGCACCTTAAAAATATAAATTTTTAGTATATTCAAATAGCTTTGGTATGCACGTGAGAAGTCAAGGGCTATTCTAAATTCCTGGCTTCTCATGCTGACGTTTCATCAAATATCGATTTTCGGAAATTTACTTGGACTTTTTACAAAAACATGCGTTATACATAAGCAGCGGAAGCAGCGGTGGCGGACAATGGTTTGTCCCAGGTGCAGGACAGCTAAATAGGGCTGATAACATTGCAAAGCTAACAATAAAATTCCGAAAGTGTCACCGACTCACCTTGTTCATTTTTAACAGTCGTAGCATCTTCTGGTCTGTTAGAGTTTGATTTGATAACCGGTTTTTGAGTAAAATCTGTGGGTATGTCGTCAGGAATTTTTTGCAATAGGTTAGGCATTACGCTAAAAGTAGGGATACAATTGTCATTCACGCAATTATCCTCATTGGATGACTCACTTTTTGGTCTTTTAATAATGATTTCTTCTAAAATAACAACGTGAGAGTTTTGCTTAGAGGATTCACTATTAAGCTCCGCTAATAAATCGACATTTTTATTTATTTTATTCGTTTGCGAAATATGCAACGACGTTTCTTGGCTATTATTTGAAGATGGAGTAAGAGCAGGTGACCGTCTTTTTTTCGATGACAGACAGATCAGAAAATCTTTGTTGACAAGGGACGGGAGATCTTTTACTAATTCAGAATTTGTGTATTTTTCACAATTTTCTTCAATATAATCAGATTTAGGTGTTAGTGACCCGTTATTATTTTTCGATACAAAATGTTCATCATGAGATTTCGAAGATTCTCGTTTTTCATTAATTTCACTCAAGGTTCGATCCCCAGATGTAAAATATTTTTTATTTGATACTTTAGTAGTTACATCTAAGGGCTCAAGTTTGAGAAGGTGATCAGGAGTGTCCGATATCACACTTTCTAATTCCTTTCTGGTAGCACGCACTTGAGAACTACGGCATGCTCTATTTGCTGAGTGTTCAACAGTCTTTGTGGGTGAAAGATCCTCTGTATTTTCTTTTATATGAGACGCAGGAGAAGAACACGATGGTACAGAATATGCAAAAAGAGGGGGATTTAGATCAGATATGTCATGTATATCATTAGGTTGATGTTCTTCCGGTACTAAATCCATAATCTGATGTTCTTCCCGTGTATTAAGTAAAGTTTGAGAATGTGTAAAAATTGGACTAATTGATTCAGCCTTTGTACAGCTATTTTTTTCTATTTGGCCTTGAGAATTCTGTCTCAGAAGACGCCTCCCTTTTTTTATATCAGTAGTAGCGGTATTAATTTTTCTAATTTTCATTTCGACCAATTCTTTTTCAGGTGTGGAAGTTGCTGATTCTGGTTTAAAGCAATCTTCTTGGGCGGTTGAAGCAAAATTATCTTGTTGTACAACGGAACCCGAAGTAATAGCAGACACGTCTTTTATTTGAGAATTAAGTTTGCAAGTTTTACGGACTTTAGAATGACGTTTTTGACAAATTTGAAGAGGTTGTGGATTTTCTGAAGTGAGAGACATTTCCTTATTGTTGTTTTTAACAGTTTTAGGTGCTTCCTTCGTTAGCTGTTGACTTAACGAAGTCACACTTACTTCATTATTATTTTCGGTTGTTAGCGAAATTTTATTTTCTAAAATATTTTTTTTAATTTTACCGCCACTCCAGGGATATATTCTAATCTGAGAGTTTGACTTTTCATGTATTTTCAGCGGCTGACGCACCGGTGCTACGTTATAATCGTCTAAAGTATCTCTAGAAGCAGAAATGGGTGATAGTAGTTCTGACGTAACAGGGTTCGAAGTGTCTGGAACTGACTTGTGTCGCCGACGGCGGCTCGATTTCGAGATAAAGTTTTTAAGCCACTTTTCTTTAAGCCTGTCTTTAAGAGGCGATTCTGATAATTCTTTAGGGTCCGGCTCATAAAGATATTGAGAATTACGTCTTTGTACTATGTTTTTAAATTGTACACAAGGTTGATCTAAATTTTTAGCGGCATCTTTTGTGTATCTTTTTAAAGGTAACAATGGTTCAAGCAGATTTGTTTCTGGTATCACAGGTATTTCTTGAAGTTTTGACTGCTCAACGTTTTGTTTAGTGGACGAATATATTTTGCGGCAGATATATGCCCCTTTTTGTTTGATCAATGTATATTCAGCTTTAAGGTCATCAGGTAACGCTCGAGGTATCAACCTAACAGGATCTAAATAAAAATCTGTATCCGTAAAAGGATCTTTCTGCAATATATCCAAACTTTCTGACTCGCAAGTTTCCCGATTATGTTCTATCTTAGGACAGTTTATTAAACTGTTTTTGCCTGGACGTGATGATGGTATTTTGTATTTTAAACTTTTTCTTATTCCGTCTGAATTGCGTTGTAGGGCATTTATTTTCAGTTCGGTAGAGTCAAAATCTTTATCGACGGGTAAAACATATTGTTGTGAAGAGTTTTCTTGTACTATTGGGCGCATATCGGAAATAGAATTTGGAGTTGTTTTCAAAGGTTCTGTCAAAAATGGACTGTCTTTCGCTTGGACGCTTGGACATAACACTTGTCCAGGTTCTACGTGAGAAGTATATCCTAGTAATTCCCTGGGTGGAGGAGGAGAATCCTCAATTGTAGGCATGTCTAAGTCTATAGTGCGGTTTAACTTTTGAGATGATTCCAAATCTGGTTTCTCTTTAGTAAAATTCAATTCTTGTGAAAGTTTTTGTTTAGTCTTTGTTGCGGGATATTCTCCCCATATTTCGATGTAAGGTAATCGCCTCGTTCCAGGAGATGTATTAGTCTTTCTGGGATTCCTTCTGTAAGAGCTATCTTCTTCAAATCCGTGAAATATTAAGGGCGTAAGTTTTTTCTGCGAATTAAATGAGTCCGAGGCGGATTTTCTGGTGGAGGAGTATTCACGGTATTCATTCTGTGGATTGTCTCTTGCGCATGCTGATCTGTAGAGTAATCTTTTCTCAGAGATATCTTCATTATTGATTCTATTTTTTGAATAGAACGATTGAGAATTCCGTTTTTGAAGACGTGGATCGCAAGGAACTATATCAGATTTTAAAGTTGGGTTAACTTTTTGTAAATCCTTGATTGGGACATGCCCACCCAGTATTTTCGGCTTTGCGTGTCTCGGGGTCATAGCACATTGCTTTGATATTCTAGGTGATGTTATAATATTATGTGATAGTCTTAAGTCAGAAACTATTGCTGTAGCAGTCTGTGTTTTAGAACTTACAGAAGAGGTCTGAAAAGTTTCTTTGCAAGGCAGTAAGTTTTTATCCGTTTCTGTCGGGTCCAAAGCTTGTTGGAGTTTCAATTTTTGTTTTTCGGCAATCTCAAAAGTTAATGTTGAAGGTTGCCGCATCATATTATTAGATGGTGCGTCGTCTTCATCCCCGGAATAATCTGGCAACTCGATATCAGTGTTAGATTTGACTAAATTATCTTTTTCTAAAGAAGAAACTGAAGGATTCACAAGTTTTTTTGAAGACGATTCGTAGTTCTCAACAATTTGATTTCTTTTCTTAGTTTGACCTTGATTTATAAATTCGTCTTTTTCTTGATAACCATTGTCAGATATGTTAAATTTAGTTGATTTAATTACAGTCGTATTACATGTTAATGATTCAAATAATGGCGCAGATGAAATTACACCTGGATTTCTAGCGTCATTACTCAATACATTGACTGCTGCTATTTGCGGTGATGTAATGATTTTTGATAAATGTGGTAAATTTTCAGTACCTGTTTGTGTATGTTTATGGACATTCTGTATCAGTTTACTGTCTGAGGGGTCAATTTCAAACACACTTTGTTTACCACGTAAAGACAAGTCGATAGCGACAAGTTTGTTTTCTGATGGTTTGTCACTATCTTTCACTGCGTCATCAGATTGTGGTTGTGTTTTAGTTTGTTTCAGTCCGCCAAGCAAAGGTATATCAGCCCGCTTTAGTTCAATATGTAGAGGTGTGTTATGGTGAGCTTTGGCGTTACACACCATTACTTTATCACACATTAGTTCAACACAGATCATCCTTTCTTCTCCCTTGTATAACATTGGACCTGTTACTTTTTTACATATCAGTTCAACGAATAACGATTTCTCATAACATACTAATGCATCGTGTACAGGAACTTTATTAAGTGTAACTTCGATACGTACGGGTGCTTCAGACCGAGTCTGTGTAATGGGTACTCTTTGTTTATTACATTTTAATTTGACACATATCGGGTCTTCATTTTTTACTACAGCATCGTGTATTATTACTTGATTACACTTCAACTGAACATTTATTGCTATTGTACGTAGCGCTGTAGAAATCGGTAACAGCACCTTGTTACATTTTAGTTCCAAGTTTAACGACTCATTCAGCATTAGTTTACCAGGTATCCAAGTTTCATTACATTTTAATTCCACATGTACTGGCACAAGTTGCATCAGTGGTGGAGTCGGTGCTGGCGCTGCACGCACCAATTTATGCCTTGGCGCTGGTACTTCACGGTTCTGGACTGCTTGTCTCTGAGCAATGCCGATACATAGAAAGTTCTCGTCGGTTACTGGTACACTAGGCGTCGGATCCCTTTGTACCATCGGCAAAACCATCATAACAGGTGTACTGTGTATTTTCCGCTGTGCTGCTATGACAGACGTTGCTACAGGGACATCGCGCGAAATACATTCAACAGAGGGCAAGTTTACTACAGCTTCACTCTCAATCGGTGTGATTTCCTCTTTTTCTTTTCTTTCCGTTGTTAAACTGTCTTGGGTGACAATTTTAGCATTGGCGTTAACACCGGACAGTAGTAGTTGTTTGTTGGCATTATTTTGTCACATAACCTTTTCACAATGCACCGAAGTCATCGGTACAACAGGTGTATAAATGGCTCTAGTAAACTCAGAATTGGTTTGTTTAAACGAATTTCGTGATCTATTACAATCGTTTAATACCGGCCCGATAAATGTTACTTTTTTATCAAATACACGACATCGCTGTAACAATGCGGCCAGTTGCGTTATACAGTTTTCCTCCCCTGTTGTTGATGTTTCTGGGCTTTTGATCTCTTTGGTGTCACCAGCTAATTTGGAAGATGTCAAAAGTTGTGGAGATGTGAGGGACTCTACGTTAGAATTGACTCTATAATTTAAATTTGTCAAGTTCAGTTTAGTTACTGGATTCATCGAGGTACTCGGAAGTAATTGCGAGTTTGGTAAACGTTGATCCGATTTGTCCTCTGGCAGCGACTGCATTGAACTCGTTGTAGAGCTATGTGACGTATTTGCCTCATCCTCCAAGATACCTCCATTTTGTGATAAAGAAGTATCGGTGACCAAATTAATGTCATTATGGGATTCCAGTATAGACGACTTGCTGGGGGACTGAGCCCGGGACGCGTTGTCATGAACGATCAATTGGTCCGCAGTGGCTTTGGAGCGTAATTCGCTGAGGTGATTTTGTGCTTCTATCGGCTCTGTAATAAATAAATAAATTTTGTTTGTGGTATATAGCACGTTATATAGCACTGATAATGTTAGCTAAAGTTGTGATTGAATTTTGCGAGATAGGCTTTAAGTAAATAAAGAGCATGCAAAAAGGGCAGCTTAAGTTACAATATAATACAATAGCATTTGATTTACTTTAATATTGTAAATAAATATAAAACTCACCTTCTTCTCCGGGACTGTAAGGGCTCTGAAAAAGAAATATTACCTTGAGGAGCGTTCTGGCATCAGCACTAAATGTAGGTAGGAGTAAAGCATGCTGAACCTCAATAACAAGACGTTTGGCCATTATAGTGTCAGTGTGTTTACAAGTCTCATGGCACAGGAGTTAGTTGGGTACGCAAACTGTGAGCGATATTCACCGTCGTCAAGGACTCCTGGTCCAGTACCGCAATGCTCAATATTGAAGACAGCAAGAAAAATTATAGAGATTACGGTCGGCCCCATTCATTGTTTTAACAATCCAGTACAGCTCCCGCACCAGGAATATATCGTCGCGTAGGACTTCACAAACGGACATAACGACCACACAGACTCTAACAACAATATGTGGATCACACCAAGTGTTGTCCCATGTGGGGATCGAACCCACAAAACTCGGCGTAGTAGAAAGCCGCTTAAACCACTATGCCATCCGTGCAGGTTTTAGGGAATATTAAGATTTACGTTAGCTTTGCTGTCCTTGTTAAGATATCCAGACGTTAATTTTCTTTATTCGTGTTTCCACACAACATCAAGAATCATCAAGAAGTCAATACGCAGTGTTATCACGCGCGAGACTCTCGCTGCCTACTCTCGCGTCGGTTCCTATGATTTACATGAATTTCATTTATGAGTATTATAATATCTTTGATTATTGAACTAAATATTAATTTCTATGACGAGGCAACAGTTAACTATAGAAAAAGAGAAAATTATTTTGTAATATGATATTCAAATCAATTTTGTGCGTCAGCTTCTAATTCTTTTTGCTGGCAGCGCCACGACGTGAGTGGCCTGTCCAAGAGGCGCAGCAACAAACACAACGTTTTGAAATAAAATCGTGCACAGCATTGAAAAAAAAAAACAATTTTTTGTCAGCTTAATAACGTCCTATTTCTAAATAGCTCTTATCTATGAGTGACTTATAATATGTAACTTAAATATTTTTAAACAAAGGCATATCAATAATATTTGACATTTGTTTGACAAAGGACTTACCAATTCAATGCCTGCTCTGCTCTTATAAACCTGCGAGTTGGACCGGGAAGAATGTATTAGTCAGCTTCGTTCAGATTTTTTGAAGAAAGGATTAAAGTTTTTATGAACAAATATAATACAGTCGAAAATGTGTTGACACGGGTCGGGCAGAATATCTATCCTCTTAAATTATTCCCCAAATGATTAACGCGGTTTGAGTCCGCAAATGGCTCGGATAGCCCTCCTTCTGCTCGGCAGCAAACCCCCACAAAAGTAGGCCGTATCATCATCAGTAAACTGTTTCACTGCTCTAACTGCATTAGTAGCTGAAGTCTTCCTCCCGTGTGCGCGGTGGTGCGCGGCCCCGTTTCAATTTCGAATATAAAGTGATCCTTTTCCTTAGGTACATATTATGATGTCATACCTCACCTTTCAGAACAAATGCACAACGTTCCGTTTTAACGTTGAAAAAAGAAGAAATGATTTGGCTTGACTTCATTAGAGGCAGTCCATAAATTACGTAACACAAATTTTGTGGTTTTTTGATCCCCACCATATCCTCCACGTCACAGCATGCGTCTCATACTTTTCTGAAGACTCTCCCTCCCGTCACATATTTTGCAATTTTACATCTAGATATTATTAAATTAAAAGCAGTTCCGATATTAGTTTTAGATTCATTAGTTTTTTTTTTATAAAACCAACATCAAATCGAACATTTGTATAAAATTAACAAAACAAAAAACGATTTACGAAACGAACGAGCGAAATTTCGCGTTTTAGTTCCAAGATACATAAGGTTTTGAAATGCGACGTCAAAAAACTTAGGCGGAGTATGGGGTTGGCGTATCCTTGTGGATAAAAACAACTTATTAAATAAAAATACTTGACCCCTCCGGTCACACCTAACACTGTCGACCCTCTCCCCGCCCCGGAACGTATGATGTACTCGTAACTAATGGTTATATATTGGGACATATTGTGGCACAATTTGTGATTATGTTAAATACAACGCATCTTACAGCAACGCATCGATTAATAAGAAAATGTTATGATTCGACAAGAAGTATAGTCTGGGTTGCAGGCGGTCATAAACTTACATTTTAAGTTAACACATAAACGGATATCTCCATTCCACAAAAAAGCAACTCGATATTAGGTAACTGTCGATAGATGATCACTAAAGGTAATAATGCTAACTCGTCCCGTCGGTGGCTTTTGTGTGAGTAGCTTCCAAAGCGTTATAACCTGCACGTCGGACTTGCCACCGCATTGGGTGAGCCCTCTCCTAACACAAGCGCTTGGCTTAGCCGGACGTCACGTCGCCGGTGATCTTTAACAGAAGAATGTGTAACGTACAAGTTAAATGATCTACCTACTAGATGTAATCAAGTGGGAGGTAACGGGAGGGCCGGAGCCGCGTGTTAGTAAAGGATGACAGTTAATAAAAAAAAACAAGAAGAGTTACAATTCAAATGATGTATTTAACAATTATTGCGATAAACCTACAACATTATATTTTATTTCCATTCTTATTTGTAGTCATTTAAAGATTAATTAGTACTGTATTCATATTTTAATTAAACAGATATAAAATCCCCACAGTGAAATGATCCGTGGGTGTCGCAGAAACATTGTCCGTGAATAACTGGGCGATTTGTGAATATTTATATAAAAACAAAACGATAAACTTAAAATGTTCTATGAAATTATAATTTAACATAAATTAAGAAATAAATTGAACTGGAGGTGGAGCTCCCACTAGTAGTGTCAAACTAAAACTAACATTTAAATAAAAAAACATCGATGCGTCCATCTGTGTAAGTGGCGATATATCGACAGATCTGTACAAAACAACACAGCGTTTTGTGCAAATAATCACAAGTTTGTACAATTTCTTTTGCTTTTTTTTCAAAAAGGCAACTACCGCATTAGAAATATATCCTGTGTCGCGGGGGACTTTACAAACATACATGAAACGGACACAAAGAACACCCAGACTCAGAACAACAATTGTGGATGACACAAAGTGTCGTCCCATGTGGGGATCGGACCCACAACACTCAGCGTAGCAGTAAGCGCGGCGTGGTGACCGCTTAAACCACTACGCCATCCGTGCAGTCGAAAATTACACGACATTATTGCTATTTGATTAAATCACAATTGTCATAATGATCGAAAGCCAGTACACGGGTACTTCAATTCACTACAAATTATTGATTATTTACAAAATTATTATATTCAGAGACCAATAAGATATAATATTTACATTCATACTAAATGCCGTCAGTAATATGCGATGTTCTGCCGCGTCGTGGACACAGCTGTACACTGCGCATGCGCAGTCCATCTTAGTACGTTTGATTCAAGTGCTACCCCGTCATGTAATTGCACTGCAATTATATAATGCCACTATTAAGTATTCAATACCAATGAATAATACTTACACGATATCTTTTAAAGGTAACGTTAGTTATATTTTTAAACGGGTACATTTACATTCCAATTATTATTATTATTATTAATTATCCGAAAATAAAAAGACCAGTAGTAACAATTCGCAAGACGTGGTTATCACAAAATATTTATATTAACTAAAGCAATTTCTAAGAATCAATAAACAATGGTCTAATAAGAACCAAGAGGGTTAAGTTTACTGATGTAAAGATAAAAATCGGCTAGCGGCGGGATTTAGCGTATCTTAAAGATAACCCAATTACGTAATGAATGTAATAAGCAAGTATATATGAACGGGCCTCTATCTAAGAGCTTGTGTAAAGCATCGTTCAACTGATATTTGGTACATAGTAGTGGCATTATTTGTATAACTCCTGTCACAATTGTTTGCGTATACACAGTATACAAAATAGTAATAAAACTTAGAACTCTCGCTTTTATACCTACTTAAAAGCAATCAAGGCTTTTGAGATATAGACCAGGCACGTATAGGAGTTGCGCCGAAGGCTTGTTTGCAAGCTTGATATGCGTACGTTATGTATGATATAACGCACGTAAGTATTATGCAACTTGCACGATGATGGGTGACCAATGGCAATATTGACAATATGTATGTGTGCGTACGCGCAACCAGCTAAGCATCTACTTGCACTAATATAATGAACTTACTGGAACAGTCGTAACGCGGGGTTAGTACCGAGCAACGCTCTTATAAACACGAATTGAAGGACAATATTTTGTGGTGAGGAGGTGGTCCAGGGAAAAAATATTCTTCTAGAGATTGCTCTACGTCAGTGCCGGTGCGCCAACTGTAAATATAAGGTTACTTAGAAGCTTTTACTTGCAACTAGATATTAACTGTTTCTGAAAGAAAAGATTCGACGGACGAGTGGACAGTACAATTCAACGGCTTCAGTTATGTTTGTTGTGAGATACAGCATTCTAAATACAACTTGGCACATTATTTAAGTCGGTTATTAAACTCTAAAAGAACAAATTTTGAAGAACTTATTTAAAAATACTTAATTATTATTATTTATTATTCTAAAATCTAAATTTCAAAGCCCATTTCAATTCCCTTACCGGTGTGAAAGTTAATTTATATTTTTAAAACACTAAGATCAATATCGAACCCTTATACCACCATATACATACTTTGCCTTGTATGTCTCCATTATTACGTATTGTATTTCATGTTCGAGGTGCTGCTAAAACCACCAACAAACCCCTAGAAATTGCCCATAGATCCATTTTGTAGGCAACATTCCGTCCAATGATGTACCCCACTGACAAATTATACAACCAATGTAGGGTTCTAAACGTTCGGCGTCGTTTTATTTACGCCGCATAAGGAAATAACCAAACGACGAAAATACAAAGTTTGTGCAGTACCACATCCTAGGACGGCATTCACTAAAATATTCTTTTATTTCTTGGGTCTGCTTTATACAACAAAATTAGTCGAAAATGTTTAATTAACAGCCTATCATATCACAACTGCAGAAATGCGTTCTATACAGTTCTGCAAGAGAAAACTTACGAGGAAACGAAAAAATATCTTTATTCGTATGACACATAAAACACGCACGCATATACACGCGCGTACACACATGCATGCACGCACCCACCCACGCTCACTCCTACCAAACACACACACCAAGACAAGTTTCTATTAAATTACGTATAAATGTAAAAAAATACCTAATATTTCAATACAGTTTATTGTAATACCTGCCACCGAAAGGGATTTGGGACCGTTACACCTTAATACAAGTTACTCCATAACCTGGCTAGGTGGACAGCGCTTTGACCGCTGATTGTATGCACTACCTTCATTAATTTCTGTGTTAACTATTACGTACTACAACTACCTTACGAAATAAAAAATATATTATATTATCTTCTGATCACAGATGCGTATACACTATCATACCTCAATATAACTTAAGTAGAACAAACAATATATTATTTGTTAAAGTATGAAATTGCCGATTTGTACTAAAAATTGAAACTCATTATATTCTAAGATGTAAAATATTTATTTCATCAAAATCTAAACGGAAATTGATATATGCCTTTACGATAGAATTCATGAGATTTAGATTCGACAAACTGTGTGAAAGCATTCTGTACTGTCTCCTGGGAAGAATTTTATTTATCACGTAGAAAATTGTCCAAATCGCAAAAAATATGGTAGTCCGTTGGAGTGGCGAGTGCGGAGGATGACGTATGGTTTCTTACTGCAGCTCCTGTAGAATTAAAACGGTTTCTCGTGCAGTGTGAGGTCTTGCATTATCATGGAGCAATAATGGTTAAGATCGATTCACGAGTCGAGGCTGTTTCACTGCCAGTTTCGCCATCATTGGTCAAAGTTCGGCACATGTTTACTTACTTTTTTATTAGTAAGCTTCGCTTTATGGCACTGTTGCGGCGTTTGAGCTGGGGCGTTTCAGCCATTGCATTTATCGCTTACGGTTATCGTAAACAATCAATAAAATAAAAAAAATTATCGTTAACAAAATAAATCACAATAATACTAATAACCTCTTTAACAAATAATACAAACTTAGTGCAATAAATAATTATTAAATATTTAAATAAAAATAAAATAATGACTATACAGATTACATATATATAATATATATTATAAATAAATTTAGTAATAATCATTCCCCTCTCTCTCTCTCTCTCTTCTATGCTGTGCCGGACAGGGTCCATAATTGATACCTAGCTTAAGCTTTTACCAACTGTAAAATTTACATTATGGTAGTAATAAAGTGTTGAGTATTGAGTATTGAGTATTGAATCCACTTTTCGTCACATGTCACAATTCGATCCAATATTTCTTCATTTCTGTACCGATTCAACAAGGCAACACAAGTTTCAACACGCATTTCTTTCTGCAGATCAGTCAAATCATGAGGCACCCATTTTTCATATCCTTTTCTTATTGATTTGATACAAATGATTCAATATTGTAGGTAGGGTAACGTTAAACCATGCCGCTAATTCCTGGGTAGTTTGACTCGGATCGGCTTCCACCATCTACTTCAATTCTGCGTTATTCACCTGTGTGGGCGGTCTTCCATGTGGTTCGTTCTTCAAGTTGAAGTTACGAAAGCGTTTAAACCAAAAGCGCAACTGCGCCTTCATTAGCAGTCTCCTCTCCAAACGCAGCGTTGATATTGCGAGCTATTTCTGCCGCATTAGTTCCGCCAGAACTCGTATTCAAAAATGACTAGGACCTTCGAAGTATCCTTATTTGACGTCTAAACTGAATAAATAAATAATTAAAAATCGAAAATCGAATGTCGCACTTTTTTTAAAAGAAGAACCTAATAGGTATCATGTAAAAAATGTTCCACACGAAAATTTCACACCATGAAGGTTTTATGTGAAGTCAAAGTATATATTACTATACAACAACAATTTCATACTTTAACCCCTATTATTAGTGAGCGACTGACGGCCAGAGATAGTTGTGGGGGTGCCTGAGTGACGAGTCGCCAGGCCCGCCAACACTAACCTTATCGGTAACTTAACTCCAAAAACTATTAGTGGTAGCTCACACGAATTTTGAGTTTAAACAATACGGAAATCAAATTAAGGAATAACAACACAAAATAAAAAATTAAAGAATATTGGGTGTGTGAGTTCGTGTGAGACTATGTTTTCGAGCCTGAGCGGTTGATTAAAAGTGCTGTGTTACATGTTTGAGTGAGCTATAGTCAAGGGTATTAAGGAATACAGATAGTTTGCACTACGCTTTACACATTGGGTATATCATAAGAGGAGTGCTAATATATAGATACCCACCAAGAAAAGAACAAGATCTCTGCGAAAGTCTAGTGTGATAAGAGTCAGTAGGACTAAAATGGCCTTTTCTACGTTTTGGGTACATACTTATGTGTGTGTGTTTTATAAGTACCTATCGATAGAATAAATTTCTGCCTGATTGTAAGAACAGCAGAATAATTCGCTAGGGTTTCATTTTTCGGCAATACGTTAAATACAAAAGTTACAGAAACTTCCCTGGCTATCAATTGGTGACCTTGAAATTGACCTTGATCGCAAACTTGAAGGTTATCTCAAGGGTCAAGGGCAATTTTCAGATGGGAAAGCATATTTTTGAGCAAGGAATTAAAAAGAGAGGAAAAAATTACAATCGGATATGACCTTCAGTATTTTGACCTCTAAAGGTCACCAATTCAAGGTCAATCTCACAAAACTATAGGGAATTGATTATTCTACAACTACAACAACTACAATCACACACACACACGCACACAAACATGACACAAACACATACCTTTTTATGACAGCTAAAGTGTAGTGGTGCTGCGAATATTGCGGGCCCATATACGCCGGTACAAGTACGAAAACTTTTTAGTTACAAAAATTAACTAACTTACTTAATGATTTACGACTTAATCTCATTCGCGGCAAGTAGTTTCAGCACGGTGGTTACGCTGCGCATTACAGGAGAACAGTATATAATCATAAGTATCGTAATAAGTGGATTAGAAGTATCAACTTATCATCATCGTTATCAACAGCCCTTAACAGTCCACTGCTGGAAACAGCCAAAGGCAGTCAGAGAGCCTTGGAAAGGTTTTAGCCTACTGTACCACGCTGACCAGACGAGTTTCTCATGCGGATACGCATTGGCAGTATTCGTAAGAAACCAAAATATCAACACGTTCTATCAGTCATCATCTTCAACAGTATCCGAAGCAGAAATAAAATCCTGTTAGCAATAGAAAGTCACAAATAGAACAGGCAACAATACAAAAATACAAGCTAAGTTGTTTTACTAGCTACTACCGCTAATTCTTAATACTCCTAAATTTTCAACTATTTATTTCTATGAATTCTGATACTATTCTAGACTGTTATCCCTTGTTAGATGACAATACGTACATGTTTTGAATACATCTGCAACTTAAATATCATTGACTTTTTTTAATATAGCACAACGAAATTTATATATTTTTTTCATTTTGCTATTATACAACCATCTACTTCGGCCCAGTTTGTCAACTACAATTTAGGTAATGAAAATGATAAAACAATGTATCAATGACACAAAAACAGTAAAAAAGAAAAATGATGTTACAAAAAAAAAATTGTTTAGGGATAGGGATTTGGGATAGGTATTTCGAAGTGAAATCTACTAGTAATAATTTCCACACAACCCCTAAAGTATCTAGGTCGAGTTCACCAGACATATGTATATGTTGTCCATTCAAAATCATTATTTTAATATGTTCTTTTATTTGTGGAGATTTCACTATGCTATGAGTATTTGATATTGAGACAACGTGTTAGGTTGAATGCTTTTATTGTACTAAATTATTAAATATTACTACAATAATTATATGTGTACGTCAGCTTATGATACCGATTGCGTAGCGCATTTCACAATGTGCAACTTGCTGGTACATATACATTGCTACCATCTACACGGAAGTTCATTTATGCTTTTACGATAGAACTCTGGGGATTTAGATTCGTCAAACTGTGTGAAAGCATTTTGTACAGAAAAAAATGTAAAATTTTCCAAATCACGAAAAAGTGGTAGTCTATCGGAGCAAGGTCTGGCGAGTACGGAGGATGACGTATGGTTTCTAACTGCAACGTCTGTAGAGTTACAACGGTTTCTCGTGCAGTGTGAGGTCTTGCGTTATCAAGGAGATATAATGGTGAAGATCGATTCACAAGTCGGAACTGTTTCACTGAAAGTTTCGCCATCATTGTTTGAAGTTCGTCACAGTAAACATCTGCTGTTATTGCGTAACCAGACCTGAGAAAGCTATAGTGAATAACACCCTGGAGGGACCACCAAACAGTTACCATTAAATTTTTTATTGGTAATCTGTGCTTTAGGGCACTGCTGCGGCGTTTGACCTGGGGTCAGCCATTGCATTTTTTACTTACGGTTATCGTAAACAATCCACTTTTGGTCACATTTTTTATATCTTAGAGGGGGCAGACGAGCAGACGGGTCATCTGATGGAAAGTCACCATCGCCGCCAATGAACGTCTGCAACTCAGGAGTCACAAATGCGTTGCCGGCGTTGTCACATGTCACAATTCGATCATATATTCCTTAATTTCTGTACCGATTTCAACAAGGCAACACAAGTTTCAACACGCACGCGTTCTTTCTGCAGATGAGTCGAATCATGAGGCACCCATTTTTCATATTTTTTTAACTTATTGATTTGATGCAAATGAGACAATGTTGGAGGTAACGTTAAACCATGGCGCTAATTTCTGGGTAGTTTGACTCGGATCGGCTTCCACCATCTCCTTCAATTCAGCGTTCTTCCACGTCTTCCACGTGGTTCGTTCTTCTAGTCGAAGTTCAAATTACGAAAGCGTTTAAACCAAAAACGCACGGCGCGTTCTTTAGCAGTCTCCTCTAAAAACGTAGTGTTAATATTGCGAGCCGTTTCTGCCGCTTTAGTTCCGCGTCGGAACTCGTATTCAAATGACTTGGATTTTCGAAGTATCCATCTTTAAAATTTGACAGCTGTCACCTATGTTTTTTCCGATTATTAAAAATGGACGGCTTTTCGAAAGAATAACGCTTTATAATTGTGAAAACTCATTACAAGAATGTAGAAAGTTACACTGAAACCGCTCGCAAGCTTCACCAAATTTTCAGTCGAGGAAGTGCATCTAATGTGTCAACCATTCGAAGTGGTCAAAAAATTTGAAGAAACTGGGTCGATTATGGATATTAAGAATCCTTTGCGTCAACGTACCGGTCGGTCAAGTACAAGATAAGTACAAGATTCAGCTAATTCAGGAGCTCAAACCAGCAGACCATGGAAAGCGCCGGCAAGTCGTTCGGTAATGGAGCAAAGTGAAGTCGATGCCAATTTTTCGAAAAAAGTTATCTTCTCCGATGAAGCGCATTTCCATCTGAATAGTTACGTGAATACACAAAATTGATGAATTTGGGGCTTAGTTAATCCTCATGCAATCCAAGAGAAACAAATACACCCACAACGAGCAAGTCTGGTGCGGATTTTGGTCAGGCGGCATGATTGGGCCTTACTCTTTGAAGATGAGGCCGAAATTGCAGTGACTGTGAACGGCATTCGTTACAGGAATATAATAACGGAGTTCTTATGGCCTTAACTGGACGGCATGGATCTGGATCATGTGGATTCAGCAGGACGGCGCCACTTGCCATACCGCGCATGAAACAATCGACTTATTGCAACAAATATTTCCAGAACACATTTTCTCATGAAACTCTGATGTCAACTGGCCACCAAAATCGTGCGATTTTTTTCTTGGGGTTTTGTGAAATCTCGGGTTTATGCGAATAAATCAGAAATAATTCCTGAGTTCAGAATTCAAACGCGTCGTTGGTGAGATACAGCCACATCTCTGCGTAAAAGCCATGGAAAATTAGCCGTGGGGGCTATTTCCCGGCTATTCTATTCCATACTTAATCGGAACATGTCTTCTTTACAATCTAATAAAAATATCACACCTCTGTCATAAAATACGTGTATTTAATTTAAAATAAACAAGTGCACTCTTACTGAGTCACCCTTGATTACTATACAACGGCAATTTCATATCTTAACCCCTATTATGTGTTTCGTATTGTATAATGTGTATAATATTATAAGGGAATCTATAAAGATCAAGTAAACATACATCCTGCAATGCACACGTAGCTCACAATTTACAAAATGAAGGTTTTAGTTAGTTAATGAAAATATTCAGATCCTAGTTATATTGTCAGTGTGTTGACAGTAATGGTGTCAGTGTACTACGGGTAGCCGGGTTCACTACTCCTTGAGTACAATAACCGGCTCGTTCGACAGAAAGTAACATACGAGGATCATTTGTATGTACGCTTTGAAATAAATCTATACTATCCATGTCCATATCCCACACAAATTGATTAGTAGCAAAACATTATATAAGCATTATATGTAACCGTTCACATTGTAAACTGTTTAACGAAAATAACATAATATTTAAATGTTTGAGTGATGAAGTAAAATATATCAATGTATTAAGTGAAAAATTTATTCTCATGAAGTGAAATGTAAATTTCTTTATGAGAAAAATAAATTATTTATCGACATGTATGTAAAAATGTAATTTAACATTTTATATAAGTATTTTAGTTTTCCATACGTACATGAAACCACAACGTGCCACAGCAAAGTGTGGCAGGGGACAGCCAGCAAGGGTATAAAATTAGTTACAGCAAGACCCAAATACGAACAATAAAGAAGTTAACCGATAATAATGTTTATATAAGCCCGGGGGCGCCGATCGCACATTCGACGGTAAAACGTCACGACGACGAGCTACAACACTTGCAGCGCTTAGCGTGTCTTGGCTCGATCAGTCAGCACTGTCGAGTTTAAGATTACCTGAGGCGGCGCAGTCATGGCGGCGAAGTCGCGCGAGAGCGCCTGCAGCTCGGCGTCGAGCGCGGGGCGGTGGAGGCGCGTGCTCTCGGCGCAGCAGCACGTGCACGCCGCGCCGTCCGCGTGCCTGCGGGCGGACACGCAGCGGTCAGTCGCACTCGGGGGGGGCCGTTAGGGGCGGGGGGGAGGGGGGGGGGAGGTACGTACGTGTGCCTGGGGAGCGGCGGCAGGCCCATCCGCTGGCGCGCCGCACTGATGTCGCTATGTTTACGCGCCGCGCAGCAGGTCCGCTGCGAGCGCCTAAGCAGGTGGTTCACCATCGCCACGTCCTGAGATGTTTAAGGCCCAACATTATTTTAACATACATATTTAAAAAAAAGTAAATGACATATATGTAGAACAATGCGAAAATTTATAGCCGCAATACAAACTTTTAGTAATCCATTGCAGAAATGTCCAAGATCCAACATTCATCTCCATTTAATAAAAAAAATCATTTTAAAAAGACAATGCCCGCATTAGGAATATATTCTGTGTCGCGGGGGACTTCACAAACATAAATGTAATGGAACACAAAAAACATCCAGACTCAGAACAACAATTGTACAATGTGTTATATAATGGCGTTGTGGTTTGAACTCACAAATCTCGCCTAATAGGAGGCGGCGTGGCGACCGCCTAAACCACTACTACGCCATCCGTGCAGTCAAGATTTTATTTGTTCAAATCAAAATGAAGTAAGTAAGGGAAGACTCTTTGTCCCAAATGAAATAAACCGCTAAATTTCATACAGGCTAAGACACATTTTCTTCTGGATAACTAGACAGGGACGTGACGGATGCCGCACTACAACAACTTACTGTTAGTTCGTTGAGCAACAGGTTCAATTGCCGCAAGGTGAGCGTCTCAGGTTCTGAAAGTATCATGAGTTAACATTCAAATATATTCTTAATCAACACTTCGATAACGTCTGCTGTTGTTGCATTACGGTGCATGTCGTTATCGGGAATACGTGAGCTTTTGCTACATTATTTTTCTAAAGTTCAGGGGTCGAGCATTAAAATAACTTTACCACAAACAAATATCAAAGAGCATTGTTGTATATTTGACTACTAGCCTTATAATTGAAAACAGTAGTTTCAACAATAAAACTTAGGTCAAAGTCACTTACCTTTTGGTGCTCCGTCTGCCGGTACGCTCGCTGTAGCAGAAGAAATAGTAGGTTAAAGTTAAATATTAACATTTGTTTACATACATACATAGTACATTTATACAGACTTGCATAATTACAAGCGAGGCTAATACAAGTGTCGTTACTAATAATTGGAATCAGTTATAATCATAATTAATGAACACCGACCACAATCGCTAAACACATTCTATTTCATAAGCTAGAGTGTACTTAGACGCACTGACACTCCATAGATATGCGTGTAAGATGTTACTTGCGTACCTTTGGTAACGGCCGGGGCGATGAGATCATTTATCTAAAAACAAAACAAAGCAAGTTATAGAACAAATAAATTAGTAGAAATACTACTTTACGAAAGCGATCGAGTGGACCGTATATTTTTTTTCGAGGTTCGGCTAAGGTTTTATCTGGCAAAAGAGTGGTAAGTGAGGTAACTAGTCAAGTACAAATATAAATTAAACGTATAAGGTCGCACTCGAGTATGTGTTTCAGGAAACTAGTCCCTCCTGTAGTTTTGGACACAGCCTATGTGGGGTCGTGGGGTCGTGGGGGGCGGTACCTCGAGCGCGGCGGGCTCGACGCGCTGCAGGATGTAGAGCTTGTTGTTGTGCGGCAGCTGGTGCGGCAGCTGGTGCGGGAGGGCGAGCGAGCGCTGCGCCTTGCTGCGCCGGCCGCTGCGCCGCGGGCCGCGCGCCGCCACGTAGCACGCGCGCGCTGTCACCACACGCACACCTCGTCACTTTCCACCTCACACATGTTTTACGATGTTTTTTTAGATTCAGGGGGTAACGATTCGGTCGGGTCGCTACGAGATTCGAGGGAAGTTAGAGACCGTTCTGGAACTTATGGCGAAACGAGCCCGCCCTATATGTATCTGCCGCGTGCGGTTTAATTTTATTTCGCTTCTGCGAGCGAAGAGCGGTCGGCGCTCCACCGCCGTGTACTTTTCGAGACGCTTTTTGCCCCGCAAAACCGATCTGCGGAACGAGTCGTCGACTGCGATATTTCCGGACCGATACGACCTTCGAACCTTCGAGAAGAGAGCGTACTCCTTCCTAAAAGGCCGGCGACGCGTTCGTGACTCCCGAGTTGCAGAGGTTCGTGGGCGGCGATGGTCACTTTCCATCGGGTGACCCGTCTGCTCGTCTGCCCCCTCTCACATAAAAAAAAGAGTGCGATCGATAGAGGCCGGTGTGACAAACTAGCATGGAAATCTCTATCTCGATATAATACGTACGTGGGTACGTATAAACTCGACAAATTCGATACTGATAATCGTTAAATAATGCTTGAAATTGTATCTCGATCTCGACTCACTCACGGCTTAAATTTGACCGCTTTATAAAACATCGATTAGTTGAAAGTCAATTAAATTGCACAAATAAAAAACTCGTTGGTTTTTGTAGGTCAGGTAGCGGGACCGACTTTGGCTACGTTAGGACGTGTCCGGCTCGAAGGACCAAATACGAAGAGCGTACTCCCTCCTAAAAGGCCGGCAACGCGTTTGTGACTTTGTTTGCGAGTTGCAGACGTTCATGGGCGGCGATAGTCACTTTCCATCGGGTGACCCGTCTGCTCGTCAGCCCCCTTTAACATAAAAAAATGACCAACTCGATAAGGTTGTATTTAGCTTGTCGGGATTTTGTAATATAAAGAACACGTGATCTGCTCTGTGTGATATATCAAACTCGCTATGAATGGGCTAAACACGCACTAAACAATATTACCCAATAAAAGTAGCAATGTCACCTGAATGGACTAGACAACAATAATCACGTGTCTACCGTAGTCGCGGTATCCGGAGGTATTTATTTGAAAGATGATCGTTTTTAACAATTTCTGGTTGAGATGACGTTTAGGCTTAACATAAGTATACATTTATTGTTATACGTGTATTTGTAGCTTCAACTTGTCTGATAACGTTACAACGAACTTTCTCAAACATTGCATCCACAAATAATAAAGACTTTCCCTAACAAGCGGACCACTTATGTATTTCAGTAATTCAAGAACAAATTCATTGCAGTATTTGTTATTGTCAAACAACCGCGACACAGGAAATATAAATTAGAAACTAAAATAAAATCTGAATAAAAGTAAACGCTTATATCAAATTCAGGACTGACCGTCTTCATCAGTCGAGCGTGCGGCCGCTTCTGTGTCGTCGTTCATTTCGAGCTTTATCTTGGCCTCCCCCGCGTACTCCGGCTCTTCCAGTTCCACCTTCACCATCGGGTCCACCTCCACGTAGCCGTGCTCTTCCGACTCGCTCTCGTGATTTAATAGTGACGCGACATCGATGCGGGTCAGTTCCACGTACGGGTCCAACAGGAGTTTGTTATCTGGGAACATGTTTTATGATCAGTTTCTTCCCGGCAGCTTTCCTTAATAAGCAATCGTGTTTACATGCTATTTCAATACATTTCTGCTTGAATGTAGAAATTTGACGTAATATTATTATTTTATATATATAATATTATTATATTATATTGTATTTAACGACACGATACACAGAGTGTGATTCTGCTACACGTCGGCACTCGGCAGGTCAGCAAAAAAATGATAAGAAGGAAAAAGGGAACATTACTGTTATGGCGGCATCCCGTTAAGCACCTTCCAACTGTTATAAGTGGCCTGGTGGTGTACCTCAAGGGGGTCTAGTGTAAGGGGCATTACAATACAATTTATTAGCATTCGCGACTTACCGAAAGTGTCCACGTCATCGTCGCTACTCTCTGCGTCGAGGCCGTCGTTGTCCTGGTCTTCGTCGCTGAACACTATCGGGCACTTCGACACCCTCTCTATCGGCTCTTCCTTTACACATATATCTATCTCAATTTTACGAGCGTCGAAGTCTGTTCCGTTTGTCGGTAGGTCGTTGTGCTCGACCAGCGCTACTTGATACGGATGGTTTTCCGTTAAGTCGTCTACTTCGGTTTTAATATTTTTAAGAATGGAGTTGAAGTCCGCTGCTTGTGTGCCGTTAAGCTCCGGTTTGATGGCGCAGGGCACGTTGCTCGAGTACGTGTCCCTTATGCGAGGCTCCTCGTCCGGCTCCGGTTTCATTAATTTGGTCCTGGGAGGGCTCCTCTCTGTAAATACATTTGTATTGAAAATAGTGAAGACGCGAAGCGTTGGCCAGCTCACGGCTGTAAGTAATTTAGATTAATTCAATAATACATGAATTCCATTATGTTATAACTTATAGTCAGTAAATTTGGAAGTATTATAGTTAGTAAATTTGGAAGACGTAGAATTCTGATTTCAAGAATACGGTGTGTTGTAGCATCAACATAAATAACTAGCGCACTAAATTACACTGTAGAAGTGCGCAAGGAAGCAACCGTCTACCGACACGTCACCCGTACGACATTCAATTATATTATACGCTATGTAATTAACTAAACATAATTTTGTCACCGTTACGGAGGCGGCAGTAAGAGCCTTGTTCCGCAGTTCTCTTGCGCGTTATCATTGACTTGTCGCCGTCTCTTTCTAAATTCTTGATGTCGTCATCCTATAAAGTAAAAAGTATGAGATATAGGCTTTGCTCCAACTGTTAGGTTTACACAGAGCCGGCAACGGGACGAACATCGAGTTATCACACACTGAGAGGAGGCGCGACACACTCACACTACAGAGGCATGACACTACTGTTCGATACGATCCCGACGCTTGGAGAGAACTTTACAAACGTTGAAACCAGTGGTTGGTGGTTGGTGCAAGTGGATAAACGACCTTATAATATCAGGATCGAATTAAATGTAACTTAAGCTTCGATGAAATGATACTTCTTTTAATTTTAGATACTCATCAAACATATACTGGTTACATAACAATATGGCCACATGACTTATATTTTAAAGAGAGTTTATACACTTATTGATACACTTCAGTGGACCGGCAACTGATTCCCACATTGTCTAATATGGCTCGTGGCCAAAGAAATCTGTCGACAAGGAGGGGAGAAAGTTACCGAGAAGACTGAAAATCTTCTTTTCTTCAATTAAAATTGGATATCTTTTTGTTAAACCAAAGGATCTGCTATTGTGATACCATTTTGAAATTGGTATTTAGTAGGCATATTTTTAAATGAATGGGCACTGACAGCTTAGTACATTTTTTTTACAAAAGTCGGTCTTGAATTAGCATGATATGATAAAAATTTGGGTTAAAAGTAGAGTAAAACCAATTTTTTTCTTCAAAAGCTTTAAATTTACATTAAAAACATGTTATTTAACGATAGCTCTAGTATTCAGCAGTAATTACCAGTAATCAAAATGAAAAAATAAAGGTATTTGTTAAAACTACAACCAAATTTGTAACAAGAGGTACACATATCGTAAAAAAAATAAAAAAAAATTATATTTCCGGTACCTTTGGGTAAAAATGGATAAAATTGTAATATGTTATAGTAAATTATCTGGTTTATCGAATCCTTAATGGTGGACCACTATTTACGCCACACCCGTATAATTTTAATAAGGATGCAATGCTGCAAACTCACCACCGGCCTGGTGATGATGAGACCCATGTCGACGAGCTGCCGCCAGCTCGGCAGCGGCGACGTCACGATATGCGGGTACCTGAATGTATTTAACGGTAGCGCTTTGTCACTTCCATCACTTTCAGTTATAATAAAGTTCCATTCAATTTACATTGAAATTTAGACGTAAGTACGTACGTAATAACAGTTTGTTATTTCATCGAGACCCATAATGAAACCCTGCGGTACCCCACAAAGTCTTGATTTTTTGTCATTAACGTACTGTTATAATACTGTATATAAAAAAAAATATGTTGGTTTGTGTACAACTCAAAAAGTACTGTACTGATTGAGCTGAAAATTTGACACGAAATACAACTCGTTTCAAAGATTGTTTTTTTTTCGCGTCAATTTTGTGCCTCATTTTGTTATGGATGTGCCATTGCGTAGCTTGTCAGGGTGCGGTTAGTGCTGTATAACAGTGAACGTAACGAACGGACAAACACGTATATTCAGCTGTGATAGACTATCGTCATTAATTTACACGACAGACTGATCGTTGCGGTCTCACCTCTTAAGTATGGCTATATTTATCTCCCTGGGGGGGTCGGAGCAGGCCGGGGTGCTGGTCTTGGACGCGGCGTGGCACTCGCTGGTGGTGCGCCAGTAGTTGACGAGCTTGTAGCGCGTGCGCAGCTTGAGCTCGTGCCAGCGCCGCTGCAGCACGACGAGCGAGGCGCAGCGGCCGGCGGCGCAGTACTCGCGCAGCGCGCGCGACCAGCGCTGCGCGCGCACGCCCGAGCGACGCGGCGCGCGCTCCTCCACGCGGTGGCGCTGCACGAGCTGCCACAGCACCGACAGCGCCTCCGCCTCCTCGTACAGCTGCTCGCTCTCCTGCGCGGAACGTCGGACCCCTCAGACTCGTGTATTTGTAAAGATCGATCGCGACGAAAATCGTCGGAGTCGTCAAAGAAAGGGACATAAGTGTAAGTTTGACTCGATTTAAAACGAGAGATGTGCAACTAACGTCGGCGAGGAGACGGTGCGTGTCGAGGTCGGTGTAGAGCAGCACGACGTCGGCGACGCGCGCGAGCCACGCGGGCAGCGCCTCGGCCGGCGCGTCCCCCGCGCGCGAGCACCGCTCCAAGCTCTCCAGCGCCAAGCGCTGCCCCCTCTCCCTGCACCGAACGTCCGAGTTAATCCTACGATCGCTTAGAATACTATTCATAATTCGACTAGCTTTCGTCTAACTATATCGGTTATCGCGGTAAAGAGTAGTCTACATATGTGACTCGCTGATGATGTAGCTTTCCACGGGTTAAGGAATTTTTAAGGCGTGAAAGCGTAACAAACAAACAAAGTCACATTCTTGTTTATAGTATACGAGTAAATATGGCAGTATGGATTACCACATATTTTATTTGTTGACGCGACACGAATTTGGATATTGTCGGCAGGTAACCTGACCGAGGTGAACTCACCAGGCCGCCTCCAGATCATAGTTGGTGACGGCTAAGCGCCACGTGCGCCGCACGGTGTCGAACATGGCGCTGTCCGACAGCGAGCCGCGTAGCAGCACCTGCGTGCACAGCGCAGACAAGACCAGCTCGTGGGGCTCGCGCTCCACGTCACCGCAGTCCTGCAACCATGTGACACCTCACTGCCTTTACCCATCTCACCGGTACAGAGGAAACTATTGTCCTTGCAGCTCCCGGTAACACAATATAAACACGTAATTATGTGGCATTAACAAAACTATGGAAACTATAAATATCACTATATCTGAGAAATAGATCGCAAGTTTTAAATATTGAAAATAACTGGCCAAAGTGAAGCTCTTCCCATAACAAGTGGAGTTCCTCAGGGATCTATACTAGGTCCCTTGCTTTTTCTTACCTTTATTAATAATATTCAGGAAATTGCAATGCACGGATATCTAACCCTTTACGCAGATTACACTTTTTTATTATATTTTGATTCGTCTGTTAACAACGTAATCACCCAAGCCCAAAATTATATAAATAAATTAAATGCTTGGTTTGATTAAATACAATCTCCTTACAATAAACACGTGGTGTGACGTGTGGTGACGGATCAAGAATACGAAATGTCACCACCCCTATTCATTAAGCGGGTGTCGTAAGAGCCGACTAAGGGAACAAACTACGCAGGACAACAGCACTGCAAAGAGAAAGAAAACTTGACATAAACCCTATACCAACCCGTCTGGCCAGCGTCGAATAGTAGGCCAAAACCTCCTTTCTAAGGAGAGGCCTATGTCCAGTAGTGGACTATTATAGGCTGTTGATGATGATGATGACAATAAACATTGGCAAAACTTGTTAAATATTACTTAAAACTAAACATAAAAACATACCCCATCATGAACCATTATGTATTAATAAACGTACCCCTTCAACAAAAATCATGTGAAAAATATCTAGGATTGAGATCGGCTAGTTCACTATCACAGAATCTATATCTGGAACACGTCAGAGCTAAACTTATCTCCTTACTTCGATCACTGCGCGACATGGTTCGATGTACACCACATAACCTACCTTACACTATTTATAACACCTTAGTAAAACCACATTTGCTTTATTTGATTAAAATTTGGGGCTCTTCCGCCAGAAAAAGATTAGCAATTCGCCAAGTGGTAGAAAATTATTAAAAAAAACTATTTTTTTTGTTTTTTTTAAAAAGACAACTCCCGCATTAGGAATAAATCCTGTGTCGCGGGAGACTTTACAAACATACATGAAACGGACACAAAGTACACCCAGACTCAGAACAACAATTTGTGGATCACACAAAGTGTTGTCCCATGTGGGGTTTGAACCCACAACATTTCAGCGTAATAGAAAGCGGCGTGGCGACCGCTTAAACCACTACGCCATCCATGCAGGCAATTTTTAACTATATCTTACCCCAACCGATAATATCTACGAAAAAACAATATTAATGAAGATTAATCAATTATTATATAAATAGGTCTTTCATAGATAATTTATTCCAGTACTTTGATCAGCTAAAATAATCAAAATTGTTATATTTTACAATTTTCATACAAATCTCCAACTTCATAGGTGTAAACGTAATATCTTTAACGCGTTCTCCACAAAACATCTAAAGTAATACAACATACCAAATCTCTAACCGCCGTAGTCGTGGTGCCAGTTTCATAGTCCAACCAAAAACAAGAACAACTATGGCAATAAAACTATGACTGAACTAAAAAAATATTTACTGCAATCGCCCTAAATGGTCTAGAGTATTAGACGGTTAAAGGTGTCAAACCCCACAATACTTATTTATGTTAAAATCGTTCTACGAGAGGCAACTAGGGCGGAGGCATCAACTGTCCTTAAAATTACGTTTAATTTGTCGTTATATTATTTTAATTATTTGAATGAATAGTGTAGAGTAGTACCTAGAGGGGCTAGTAGCTAAGTGGTAACCGAGTAGGTAGGCACATTGCAAAGTTAAGCAATCCTAGCCAGGTCAATCTATGGATGGGTGAGCATTTCTTATCACATTGAGACCCTCCGTGCCGCGGAGAACACGTTAAGCCGTCGATATCGGTTTCCATACATACGGTTCCACATCATCACGGATAGTTGGAGACTAAAAAGTCCGACAACAGTATCTACAGAACTTCGATGTCGCCTAGTCCAAGTAGAGCTGTGGAGGTCTGACGGAGTCGCTCCACGTAGGAAAGTTGAGCCGTAACGTAGTGCACTCAAAGCCGACCCTAACCTCATGTTGGGAAAAAGCTCGGAGAGTGAGGATGATGGTGAAGAGTAGTGCCTCTGAACCTCTACCATTAATGAACACTTGAATTGTAATAGTCTAAAGTAAGTAGTGTCGTTACCTGCAGAAGCTTCGGCAAAAGTTGGAAGTTCTCCTCGACAAGCGCCAGCCAGCTCAGCTCCTGCGGCAGCTCGTCCACGTAGCGCAGCCCGTCACGGACCAACCGCTCCATCTGCACAGCGGCACACTCCACTATCTACTACTCAACTTCTTTGCACTAACCGAGGAGTCAGTTCACTTTATACTTTGCTTGTTAACATTGCCCTCTAAAGTAATACAAATTAAAGTCTTCTCAACTGAACGGCAATTGGTTAATGCAGCTTTGAAATCGAATCTTTTTGTTTAGAAACTCGTTAAATATTTAATCGCTCGAGACAAGTTCTAGGCACATTATTTAGGTAAGCTTACCTTATCTGTGAGACACGTGCATAATAAGAGATAGTTTACAGGGGTATTTTTTGTAATAGCCTTGAAATACTAAAAAACAATGTTAATTTTGACGTTAAGTTGATCTTTTAGCATTCATTTTAATATGATACAGCAATCATTAAAATTATTTGAGTTATTTATCTGATTGCTAATACTTTTCCGTTATGGGAAGTTTTTGTTTTACGATAATCGGACATTAAACTCCAAAGTTACATAACTTTTAGTATGGACGCTACGAAAAAGTCAACCAAAATACCAAAATGGCTGCCATTCAGAGGCCGTTGGGTTTAGACCCCACCTGTAGAATGATTTTAGTGATAAAATAGAGCAAACTATCACCCCCTAAAGTTTGTACAGTCCGAACCCAGACACATTGTATATTACTTCTTAAATATGTTTGCAATGTACCTACTCCTAAATAACTTTAACGCTTTAAAGCAATCACAGTTTTAAGAAGTACGAGTGGACTTTTCCATCTAATTCTGAGTTTGAGGAATAGAAGATCAAGACGTATGTGATATCAGGCAAGTAACAGCTATTCTGTAACGTCTCGGGACGCCGGGAGTAGTAACCGTGGTCCACGGACTCACCTTGTCGCAGACGTAGCTTCTGAACAGCTGCTCGAGGGAGCGCGCCTGCCACGCGCTGACGCTAAAGCGTTGCGCGAGCTCATTGTAAGCCACCACACGTTTGTACTGCAACTATTCAACATTTTAGTATCGGTGACGTATTTTGTATTATATAAATTTCAGTAGTATATGTAATATATAATTTCAGTAGTATATGTAATATATAAATTTCAGTAGTAGTAGGTAAAATCTTAAACAATCTTTCGGTATCTAAAACTCTTATACTTACTAATCTTACATGGCAACATAAAACTAAAATATTAGCAAATTTTTTTAAAACAGCATTTACACATTTTCTCACATGAAGCAAAAAGTTAAGATTACAAATCTAGAAATAAATAGTTATTTTATTATTATTTAAATATACAATCTTAAAGGGAATAGTAATGTTGTGTATCACAAAGAATAATAAATAACATTTTTTTTTTATGTTAGAGGGGGCAGACGAGTCACCTGATGGAAAGTGACCATCGCCGCCCATGAATGTCTGTAACTCAGGAGTCACAAACGCGCTGCCGGCCTTTTAGGAAGGAAATACCGCAGACGATAACCCGTTCCAAAGATTGGTTGTGTGGGGCAAAAAGTGTCTCGAAAAGCGCACAGTTGTGGAGCGCCAATTATCCAGGTAATGAGGATGAAAATGTTGCCGTGTGGAACGATGGCGGAAGTTTCGGGTGGTATTAGTCCGAACAATTCCTCCCAAAAATAATTCCAAATTTATTCCTAATTGCTATTATCAACTACCTACTTTGGCCAGGTTTTTACAATTTTTGTGACGGAAATAATAAAACAATGTATCAACGACACAAAAACTGTAAAAAGCATGTACAAGTACATTTTATGTGCATAATAAAAGCATAATAAGTGAGTAACTAAAAATATATTAAAACTGCTATAAGATACTGATAAAGATTACAGGTTTGGCTAGATAATGCTACACCCTTTGCAGGCAACAGTTAGTGTCATGTACTACTGTACTAATAGTACAACACTCTAATATGTGTGTACTGACCTTGTTTCTTCTATATGGGTGCTTAACAAGTGCAGCATGTTTGATATACTCCAGACCAAACTCCTCAACGTCCACCTCTTTATCCCTTAGCTTCAGCATTCTGTAACAAAAGCACATACAAATTCATATTGTGTACAGCAGTGGCTGTTTTGTGATTACTGTGGAATATAAATTCCAGAGAGAATGGCTTGAAAGGTTATTCCTACAAATGCAAAATAAGCACTTAGATGTAGAGTTAAGATCAATCAATTATGATAGACCAAACTACCTATAACCTTCAAGAAAGTGCATACTTACACCTCAACAGTAGTCAAAGTGCTTGCAACACCCGAGTTGCAGGCGTTCATCATCACAGGCAGCACAGGTCACTTTCATTTAGTTCACTATCTGTTTGTTTGCCCCTAAATCATGAAAAAAAATGAAGAATACTCCCATCCCGTTTTTATTTCCTTAAATATATTACAGAACAAGATCAGTATGCTGGATGCACTCAGCTAAATTTTAAAGAAGTTATTTTTGATGTTGAATGGGTATATTCTGTAACTATGTAACTATATATGAGATGTAAACTTTTGCAATTGACAGCCCAAATCCCAAGAAACTTTTATTTGTGACACTACAATGCTTAATGCCCCCAAGTGTTGGTGACATTGTTGAGAACATTCAGTAATACTTTTATGTTGATAAAGCTTTCATAAATAGCATATCTGCCTGTGATATGGATCTTCACACACCGACCCTAATTTGATACCTATTTGTAGTCCTTGCGATGGTAAGAAGAGGTTGATTATGTCAGTAGTGTTAGTATCAGTCTACTGCACCGTTAGAACAATAAACAAACTATTAAACGGTAACTTCTCACGTACAAATGCCAGTAACTTAACTAAATACTAAGATTGTTTACTTACATGTCTAAATTACAATTTGAGCGTCGAACATTAGTCTGAGCTGTAATAGAAGCGGCTTGGCACGGTGCGACTTACATCTGTGTCCTTATAGAGACACCGGTTTTAACACTTTTATTTATTATTTGCCATTTTATTGTCGTATTTCACCAAATTTTGGGTCTGCGCAGAACGTGACTATTAGTGGGCTTGAGCTTGACATAAAACTGACATTTGACATGAACATTTGACGTTTGTACTAACAGTTCAAGATCTTCTGAACTTGACGAAATTAAGATAGGCTGATTAAGAATCTTGTGTCTATGTCAGTGGATAGATATTAGTGTTGTCTAATAATTAATTTATCCAGGATTGTCTAGATATGGACTCAGTGATCAAGGGGTACTTAATATCAAAGACTATTGCATTTGCATTAGTCATTGAAAAGGCAGATTACATAATGAAGTTAAATTTTATGTCCGAATGGCTTCTATAAAAGTGCAATATTCTATCCTCTAGCTTTGCTGCACTTTGTGTAAGCTTTCGTAAAAACTAGGCTTTTTTATTTTATTAAGGTAAATAATCGCACGACAATTGGTATTACACTCAAAATAACAAATCTAATAAGACGCTTACACGTCCAATCTTAATGTGTGACGTAACTTATTGACAGCGCATGCGCGTTGCATTCGCCCCCAGACGCCACTTTGAAAATACAATTTACGGTTAAAGATTCTTTATTCTCAATAAAAAAAAAAGCCAATGATTTGAAAGCAAAAAGCAATTTGAAAACAAAATGACGATTTTTTGTAACGGGTCCTACATTAAACTTCATTTGTAAACATTTATGTGTGTGAATTATCAACAATTTATATATATGGTTTAGTTACTTAAATGAAATATCCCAAAATAAAATACTTAAAGTACCTTCATCTAGAAGAAAAGATATTTCATCAGTTAAAAGCTATCAGTTAAAAGTAAATGTCAGTTGTTTTGAAATTGTACACTTTTCTCTTGTATACTAGCTCAGGTTACTATATAGTACAAAAAGTTCATTAAAAATAATTACTTATGTCTTTGTAACAGAAAAACATTTTTCTCAAGATATAATGTTAGTTTTAATTATTTTCATTCTGTAACCCTCGTTCGTTTTTTCTTCATTTAATTTGTGTATAATATTGAGTCAAAGCTCGTTCCCCGTTAGTTTGGGACAATTTTCCCTTAATTATATTGTAAATATAGACCCTCGGTCGGAACAAAGTTCATTTCGGAAAGAAGTGAATAAAAAAAGTCTTATATAACGAAATTCCTTATCGCGCATTACACGCTCTGAGCGTTTGCTATACAGTCTGCTTTAAACTTAAAGTGTCGGCAAAAAGTCTTGTTACACATTTTTCAGTCTCGCTCCCATCCGCTCAGAGCGTGTAATGCGCGATAAGGAATTTCGTTCCAATAATACAATTATATTTAGCTTCACGGTTAGACTCCGCTATTAAACACGTTACAACCTTTATTTGTAGCTAAACTTTTATTATAAAAAAAAATAAAAGAGTCGCCGTTTACAATAACATAGTTATTCACTCGCATGATATACCAATTTCCAAAAATCCTGTCTTAATTGGTGCCTACAACATAAAAAGCATCAGCTACCAAAATTTCAGGTTTGTAAGTCGGTCAGGGCAAGTAATTTTATATGTACAGATTTAAAGTAGCAAAGATGAGAAGGATTTTAAAATTTTATTTATATCTATTTGAGGAAAAAAGCTTTGAAGACATTTATTCTGATTGCATCACATTTCCTCGGATGACCAAATACTGCGCCACTAATGTGTGGGCGCCACAATGTGGGGGTAAAGACAGAGCTAACTCCCTATTGAATTACTATTACACCTGACCATCGCCTCGCAGTTCAATTAAAATTATAACAATATGAATGCATGTACATACTTGTCATATTTGGTTTCTCAATGTCGGACACCTATCGGCTCACGCATATCGTCGCCATCACCATATATGAGCTGGATTACGTAAGTGCACTCCAATAATATTCTATGAAAAGTTTATTTCACTCAAAAAAATGATAGTTTACGAATAAATCATGTTTTTTTCCTTAATTTGAAATTGTATGAAATATATTGAATCACTCACAAAAAATGAAATACCGTGGTTGATGGCAAACATCACTGAACAATGGATGTTTTTTTGTAAAAATAACAACACATATGAATTGTAGACAACTTCAATGCAGTACCTGGCGCAGCGCAGCCATCTGGGCTGGCAGGTGTGGGGGAAGGTGATAAATCAATAAACGATTACAACTCTGATTCGGCACTTAAAATTTAGCATACATTGATGATGCAGCCATCCCGCAACCAACTTCACTCTGTCGGGCCGCCGATATACCATAGTACTGTACTCTGTGGATATACCTAATATTTACATTATATATATCAATAACAAAGAGATTATTTCTTAATAATATCATCTCGTTTCAATGTATCACTACATCTCTGTCTCTTGTACGACGACTACGACGAGATACCGACGCGCTGACGCGCTGCACTCAAATTGTATTTTTATGACATTCATTCTGTTTCCGGTTGTCTATTAATTTTATGCAAAATATTGCCAGCACTCAATTAAAAACTAATTAGGATTTTTTTAACATTGCTTTCCCTTATTATTGTTATCTTCATTGTTAATGAACATTCCCATTGATGGATCTACGTACTAAAATGTTCAAGTCCTTTTTCAGTATCGGATTTGCATATCTTTTGACTACTCTTAAACAAGTAAGTGGGGATTGTGTGTTTGCAAATTATAATAGCTTGTTTAAGCACTTACAGGAGATGGCCTTTAAGCCAAGCCTCTAAAATGATGGATATTTCGGTTTATAAAAAGTAGAGTATTTATGTTTTAACTACATTATGCGTTAAACGCAATTATAGTATTAAAAATTGACTGTCGACCGGCTATATTCTCTCTTTGCGTTTGCGTCTATTTTATCGTCCATCATTCTCGTCTACCTCCACAAATGCTTTATCGATCGTTGAGCCCTGTACCGTGTGTGCCTCAATAGCGATTATTTTCCATTCTAGAAACACTCGTTATTTACAATCCTTGTTTAGGGATTCAATTACTAGATGGCGTTTTTATCACTAAAGCGAACTCTCAGCACTGTCACACAGATGGCTTTAATCTTTTCTAAAAAAAGAATCACTTTGTAATAGCGGAAGAGATATTACTAATACAGGATGTCCCGAAATTCAACGTTAAGCGGTTAGTGCCTTACCTCCCTGGTCCAAATACAAAAAAAATATTGGCACTCCTTGAGTGTGAACAGAAGTGAAAACTTTAACATTTAAACATTTTTGATTACCTATAACAGGAAAAACTTTTCTTATTTTTGATTCGAAAAGTCCCGACATGAATATATATCTATATTTTATATAATATATGTTTAAATTAGATATAGTTATATTATTATCAATATATTTCAACCCAAACTCAACTCTCTTGTAAACGGGGCCAATACAATGTAGATACTCATACAACGTGTGTTTTTCTTTTGACAAATCTGTAAACCACATATTCTGCACTTTATTTCTAGCCGATTTGCAAAATATAAACAAGAAATATTCAGTAGTTTAGAAACAGGTCAATTTTTTTTTCTTAATTTGCAACATCGTGTGTAAATGCAGTCATAATGCATTGACATCAGCTGAATGCGCTCTTACTGCACTCGAATCTAACGAAATATGTTGATTATTGCGTCATCAGGATTAAGGACACGCGTTTTTAATTACACATCATCAGCCTTTAATAGTCCACTGCTGGACATAGGCCTCTCCTTAGAAAGGAGGTTTTGGCCTACTACACCACGCTGGCCAGACGGGTTGGTATAGGGTTTGTGTCAAGTTTTCCTTCTTTTTGCAGGCTAAAGTGAAAGGCTGATGATGTGATGATGTGTGTGATGTTTTTAATTAGTTTATCCAGCAAGTACAGTCAGGGGCCCTTGGCTACCGCGAATCGCTGAGTGGTTTGATGTTCTGTGTCCTTGTAGATGCGCTCACCACAAATTATCGATTATTACGATAATTTGGTAATAATTTATTGTTGTTGTTCGTGAGATATTTGTTTAGAAAAGTTTTGTTTAGTCTTATCGCTTTCGCTTTCTTTGCTTTTATTTCATAATACACTGCAATGGTGTGATCAATTAATGTTATCGTGTGCTCAAGACTTCGTGTTGTAACGAGTCCCGATAATTTTAGTTTGAAAAGTGTCAATATTAGATTGTGTGTGTAGTGTAGTATGAAACTGAGTGAATTATCAGTTTTTAATTTTATTGGTTTATCAACATTCATAATAACGTGAGTGACCTTTACAGCCGCGGAATATCCTGACATGATGTTAATTTACGGGGAACTATTTAGTTTTACGGACAGGAGAGTTGGAGTCAATCGTGTGTGTCCTTTTTTTGTTGAGGGGGTGGAAAATCCCTTCGGATCTCCTGCACCTCGGGGACTCAGGAGCCAGGAGTATGTGCTGATTCCACTACAAACCACCCCGACAGCCGACCTCAGGTGTCCTACTCTGGGAGGACCTGGACCATGTTATTTCAGGTCCTCCCCGAAATCACACCATGCCTAATCGGGCCCTATCCCAGGGGAAAACACTTCCCCCTCAGTCGCGGCGTGGCGGCCCAATTGCGTCTTAATGCAATCAGGCTGCCATTCTATCCCCTCCCGCAGCAATCAATCTGCCACCAGAGGTCCACACTCTCTGGCGGCCTGCGGCCCCGTCGACGGCTGCCACGCCCGCTGAACAGGATCGCCGTCCTCCCGATCCTGTTCAGCGGTCTCTTACTGGAGCAGTACAGCTTTTCAAAAAAAGACCTCCTCACCATCATCCCTCCCTCCTCACCCGCCAGCATGGCAGCAATAATTGCTAGTGGGGACAGGTCTCGCCCAATTTCGTCCTCGACCAGGACATCGTTATCAGACGCCTACGAGAGCAGTCTTCCAGCGTGTGCTGGGCGGAGTCCCAGTTGGAATTGTGTGTCCTACAGACTGCCGAATTTTTGTAAGGGCAACCAAAGTGCCTACTTTTTCAAGGTGTTCTAATTCGGAAATAATTTTATTGTATTTATTCTGTTCTAAATTTTGCATTTTTGTAATTTCATACTATTTTTTTTTTAAATTTTAACCGACGTATATTGAACCGTGTTATCTGTTATTTCCTTTTTTAGGAAAAGTTTTGTACCGCGCTATATACAGAGGTGTCGCTAACGCTAACGGTTTTTTCTCATATCAAAAAATACATTCTTTTGTTGCAGCGGCAGCGGAACAGCTGCAGCATAAGGAGGAGCAGGCCCGTCGTCAGGAGGAGTAGGCCCGTCGTCAGGAGGAGCAGGCCCGTCGCTTGGAAGAACAGCTGCAGCGGGACGAGGAGGACCAGGAAGCTCAACGTTGGAGACGGGATGGCGACTACGGTAACTGCTTCTTCTTCGGTGCGATGGTTAAAAGTGACGCCGTTTGATTTAACATCTTTGTGGTCAGCCTACAAGATTCAGTTTGAGGCAGTTATGACGGCGAATGGTTGGACTAAGGCCCAGGCTTTGACCGCGCTCATCTTGGATCTCCGAGATCAGGCCTTAACCGTCCTTGAAGCTCTCGGTAAGAAGGTAACCTATAAGCAACTGCTGGAAGCTTTGGAAGCAAGATATGGTGACGCTCACCTGGAGCACGTGTTTCGTTCGCAGCTGAAGGATCTTGGAAAACTTGTAACAATAGGCCCTAGAGGTTAAGAAACTGGTCCGTAAGGCATACTAGTCTGAACCTACGCTCATTGACCGGAATCTGGTGCAAGCTTTCATGGACGGCATTCCTGACCTTGAAGTTAGAGCTGCTGTGAGGCTTGGGCACCATGAAACTCTCAAGGACACCTTGGCCAGTGCTTTGGAGGTGGAAGCTGCGAGACAAGACAATCGGTCTCATCGGGTCCGGAAGGTTGTGGCGGCACCTGTTTGACCGTTTTATGGGGTACAGCCCTAGATGTTACGCCTGTTCCGAAAAGAGTTATCTTCGGTTTAGTTGCCCTAAGCGAAGCTTAGGAAGTGAATACAAGCGGCCACAGAAGATTAGGGTGGCACTGCCCACCATCGCAGTGGAAAATCAGACGCATTATCAAAAAGACCTTGTCCGGAAGATTACAAGTACTGTACCAAGCAATAAATAAATGAAGCTGTGCCTTGAAGGACGCTAAAGACGAACCTAAGCAATGAGTGAAAGGTAAGCCTAAAGCAAGTACAACAGAAGCATGTTAGACAATCAGGTCAACAAATGTCTGAGAAGATGAAAATCCGTTATGACCGGAAAGTGAACAACAAAGGCTTCTAAGAGAGTTCGCTGGTGTAGCTACATAATCCGGTTCGTAGTAACGGGAGATCTCCGAAGCTACAAGCCAAATGGGATAGACCATACCGAGTGGTTACAAAAATCAATGATGTTATGTTATGAACCTACCGGATACATAAGTGTTCAAAAAGCGCCCAAAAGTTTATTTATTTTATTTATTTTTTATTTTATTTATTTTGCAGAACATGAGTAGGTATATAAGTTCTTCCAATAGTATCAGTTTCATCATATTCTGCTGTCACAGCAGCATGCAAAAAATATACAATAACCATTAAATTAATATAAAGATTGGAATTGAAGAAAGTCACTAATAAATTATGTTTACATAGTTATATCTGTTATATACATTAAACATTGTTCATTAACACCAATTCACTATCAATTAAATAATCGTTCACAGAATAATATCCTTTTTCAACTAATATTTCTTTGACTTTATTTTTAAATATAAATAAACTATCTGTGATTCCGAGTACAGATTTTGGTAAACGATTGTATAATCGAACAGCCATACAAAGTGCGCTCCTATTTAACAGAGCTGTTTTATTTCTGGGCATGCGTATTTCCATATCACGCCTTTTATTATTAAGATTTTTAAATACATAAGCATTTTTGCGCACAAACACGACAGTTTCTAATATGTAAATGCATGGTAGCGTTAGAATTTTAAAGTTTATAAAATATGGTTTACAACTATCTGTAGTTTTAATACTGAATATGGCCCGCATGCATTTCTTTTGCGCCTTAAATACAGTTTCCCTATCTGTAGAATTTCCCCAGAACACAACACCATACCTCAGAAGAGAGGCTATGCACCCATGATACACCGCTAAAACTTTGTAACCTCTACTTCCTCAAGTTTTTGGTCTAAATACCGAATATCCATATTCGTCAATTTACTTATTCTATTTCTATATGTCTATTTATGTGTATATATCTCTATATGTGTCTATATCTCTATGTTCTATTTCTATGTGTCCGTGTAGTGAC